TAACACCAGTCAATCAGCATTACTTGTTGTGGTAAGTTAGCGATCTGTAAATAGAAAACCAAGAATTTTGAAACTTTCATTTAGACTCCTGAAAAGAAGACTTTCAAAAATAATACTGTTACTCAAATAAGGACTCCAAGATTTCAATCTTCTCCTAGTAGACGCTTACGAAGTGAAGACAACATCGGAAATGATTTTACTCAATCATTTATTTCAGGTTCAATGCAAAAGGAAAAGAATGATAAAGAAGAACGACGTCAGATTCAACTTCAAAAGAAAAGGGAACGAAGTCGATCTAGTCGAATGAATGAAACAGAAGAACAACGCCAAATTCGACTTGAGAAGGAGAGAGAACGAAGTCGATCCAGTCGAATGAATGAAACAGAAGAACAACGCCAAATTCGACTTGAGAAGGAGAGAGAACGAAGTCGATCCAGTCGAACGAATGAAACAGAAAAACAAAGGGAAATTCGTCTTGAAAAGAAAAAAGAACAAACTCAATCCACCCGTACAAACGAATTGGAAGAACTGCGTCAAATTCGCCTTCAGAAGGAGAGAGAACGAAGTCGATTCAATCGAACAAATGAATCAGAAGAGCAACGTCAAATTCGACTTGAGAAGAAAAAAGAACAAAGTCGATCAAGTCGAACGAATGAAACAGAAAAACAAAGGGAAATTCGTCTTGAAAAGAAAAAAGAACAAACTCAATCCACCCGTACAAACGAATTGGAAGAGCAACGTCAGATTCGACTTGAACAACAAAAGAAACGAAGTCAAGTAAATAGAACTAAAAAGAAAGTTGAAAAGCCGAACAATGAAAATATTAGTACTGGACAAAATTTTAGTCATTCTAATTGGCCTGGACCAATTAGTCGCGATTTAAAAGACACTCGGTTGCAACAATTTTTAGAACAGATGTCCATGTCAAAATTGGCTGAAGCTACTTGTGCAGTTTGCAATATCCGTACTTCAGCAAAAGATGCGAAGAAAATTCCAATCTCAAAAATTCCTAATATTGAGTTACTTAAAGTTTCTGAAGAACTCAAAAGTCTAATTAGAAATTCAACCGAAAATACTTCCATCTTCAATGGTAATGATAATAACGGACAGACGACAGCGCATATTAAAAGTATAATATATGATTAGATTGATTTAAGAATTTATACGGCATTGTCCATTCTAGACCATTCAGCTTCTAATTCATCATCTTTTTACTGTCAGAATGACATTTTCTTATACAAAAATGGCTTATTTCAAACAAACAGAGTGAATATGTGTGTTATTTGTCAAAAATGTCACAGTTCTCTTTCAAAGGAACATATACCGAAGTTTTCAGCTGCGAATAACATGTGGTTAGGTGATATACCTACCGAATTACAAGGGTTGACGATTCCAGAAGAAAAATTAATATCACTCTATCGTCACAATAGCTGTATAATAAAACTTCAATCACCTTTTCATTCAACTACAACTGCTCAAACAGCGTTGAAAGGACATTGTATTACCTTCCTTCAAAATGTACCAAATATTGTCAATAGTTTGCCACTTACACTTGCTGATCTTTGTGATACACTTAAAGTAATTTTTATTGGAGCTCGGCCACCTGATCGTCTTCATCTTAAAAAGGTTTTAACAGTACGGAAGAAGAAAATTGTTCAGGCATTACAATGGCTAAAAAAATATAATATACTTTATCAAAACATCAACATAAGTCTTGAAAATATTGCTCAATTACCAGAAGATGATGTACCCGAATGCATCATGTCAACTTTAGAACAAAAGATAGGTGATGAAGAAGGTCAATCTGAAAGAACTGGATATGTTCCTGATCCATTAATGAATCCAAAAGAATGCACTACTGCAGATGTCATACCTATCAGTAACAGGTAAGAGTATTTAATAAATCAATGAATTCATATAGCTTCGTTATTTTAGTGGTGTTCTTGATGTTAATGGCTCATCAGTATCATCAGATGAGATTGTTAATTACTTTTTACACAAAATAAAAACAAATGACCAAGCAGTTACTGAAAACGTTTACTTAATTCCACATTCATCAAAACCTGTCAATGAATATTTCAATCCAAAATTATTAACTGGTTTATATCCAACTTTATTCTGTTATGGACGAGGAGCACCTGAAGATCAATCACGTCCAATTGAAATCAAATTTAAAGAACATATACGTTATCTATTATCTTATAATGATCGTCGCTTTGAAACAAATCATAGTTTCATATTTGTAGTTTTCAACTTATTGCAACGACGTGATGCTTGTTTTCATGCTCAATTAATCGCAACAAAACCTTATTTTCAAGCATCAGCTAATGAAATTCAATCAATTAATAGCAAAGATATTGAAATGGCTCTGAACAACAATTCCAAAAGAACATACAATACAGAAGCAAATAGTGCATTAAATAAACTTCTACGACATATTAAAACTGTCGGTGGCCGAGTTATGGGATCAGCATATTCAAGAACAGCTTTACGTACTCGTATACATGCACTTATTTTTAATCAAGGTTTACCTAGTATATTTCCTACATTAAATCCAGCCGATATTCATAGTCCTGTAGCATTATATTTTGCTGGTGTTCAACTCAATCTTGATAAAATTCAAAATGAACAACTTATGGACACTTATAGAAGAGCTGAAATCGTAGCATCTCATCCAGTTGCTACTGCCAAATTTTTCCATGTATTGATCAGCAATATCTTAGATACTATGATAATGGGTGGAGTTCTTGGACCAGTAAAGGGTTACTTCGGTACTGTTGAAAGTCAAGGTCGAGGTTCACTTCATTTACATCTTCTTATTTGGCTTGATCATGATATGAAACCAGCTGATATGAAAGAAAAAATTCAAGATGCCACCTTTCGTAATAAGTTGAAAGCATATTTAGAAGATATTATCAAAGAAGATTTAGATGACTTCAAAGATAAACAAGTGATCGAATCTTCTAATGGTATGAAATATGTTTATCTTATTCCACCATTCATCTTTTCTTTATTTATAATAGGACCGGAGTCATTGAACACTTCCACCCAATTATCACAAAACAATATTTACACCGCTTTACGTACTATTGGTCTGACAGACTTCACGGAAAATACACATCAATCGCCTACTTTGTCAACACCGACCAAACAACATCTATCTTCTCCATCAATTCCTTACAAGTCTCCGTCGATTCCATTTGGATCACCATCAATTCCTTATAGATCTCCAGTATCGAGTCCACTAGTACAAACACCAACACGTGATGAAGCTGCATTTGGTAGGATAGACTTATATTTGATAAAAAATTATTTAAATTTTTTAGATATGAATGTGTTATCTAATCAATCAAACTTACCCCCAGCCTGCTTACCCACTCCAAATCCATCATCGCCTAATTTTAAATCAAGATTTCGTGCACATGTAGTACAAGTTGTTGAATCGGGCAATACTCATAGACACAGTGATACATGTTATAAATACTGCAATGGTGCTTGTGGTGGCAAGAAGATTTGTCGATTGCGTATGCCACGAAAACTGGTACCAGTATCAACAATCGATCCAGAAACTGGTCATATTTCGATGAAACGATCAGATCCATGGATCAATAATTTCAATGAGTATATTATCTCAGCTTGCCGATCCAATATGGATATTAAATTTATTTGGACCGGAAATGATGCCAAAGCTTTAGTTTACTATATTACCGATTATGTCACAAAGATGAGCCTATCTTTTCATGATACATTTTCTCTTGTCCAAAAAAGTATTACATCATTACAAAATCCAAACAATCAAGTAGACAAGGAAAATGTAATTGAAAAATCACGTAAACTCGTTTTACGTTGTTATAATGCACTTGCTTCACAACAAGAATTATCTGGTGTGCAAGTTGCTTCTTATCTTATGAATTGGGATGACCATTACACAACACATAAATTTCAAGGTCTTTATCTTATTCAAACTGAACGATTTTTACAAACTGAATTGAATGAAATGCGTGCGAAACAAAATCTCCAATCAACATCACAGGGTAAATCTAATTAATTCATTTTATATGCTTATTATTCAAGTGACTCTCATACAGTGACAATCTTTTTTTTTCTATATGTACAGCGTGAGAGACGGATAGAGAAAGAGAGAAGAAGAAGAGAGAGAAGAGAGCGAGAAAAAGAAAGAAGCAAGCGAAGAAGAAAAAGAAAGAGGAAGAAAAAACGCGATAGGCGTAATTTGAACATCAGGAAAATTGACCTATGATAATTAATTAGCCGCGCACGTACATGTTAAGAAAGAAAGGAAAGAGGAATGATGGAAAATAAGGATAACGTTCAATGTATAAACAATCAATCCGTGAAAAAATCAAAAGAAAAAGAAACAAACAGCTTGATATATCTTTCATATAAAGAGCGATAATGATTGTAAATGTGTGAACATCAATGATACATTGTGTCACCAATAAGTCCTGTTCGATGAGAAGATGTTAGTATGATCTCAGTACTGTTTCTATAGATAAGTGTCGAGAAGCGAGCTGAATTATTCGAATATGATTTCTTATTGATACGTGAAATGATGAAGCATTTCATTGATAATGATTAAAAAAATGTATGTGTTTTTTTTCGCATATAGATGTAATTGATGATGAAGATATATTTGATGAGACAATTAATGAGGAAAACAGCGATGAAGAACATTTCCAAGTTCAACCGGCGGAAGATAAAAACAATTTTATACTTGTTAATACACGCGTTGATTATCAATATCGTTCAAACAACCTCAACAACACTTGTTTATATGATTTTGTCAGTACATTTTATAAGAAAAAAATTAATGAAACCGATATAAAATATTTATCAAAATCCTCTACGACTGAAAAACGACAAGATAATCAAAAAGGTCGACCATCTAATGAACGATTTTTTTTTCAAAAAGACCATCCTCAAGCAACAACACATCTACTCATGAAATACAGTGAAGCTCATGTACCTGTTCTTTATGGTCCTCAAATTCCTCGACAAGATCGCGATGATACTCGAGAACGATACAATCGTGCACTTCTCACACTTTTCGTACCATGGCGCAATGTAATTGATCTTTGTGACATCAATCAAACATGGGAAGATGCATTTGAATCTCGAAAACATCGTATTTCGGCTCATTCATGGAAGATTATAGAAAATATTCAACTTTTACATGAATGTAAAAAAGATCGTGATGAACATTTACTTCAAGTTATTGCTGAAGCACAGGTCGATAATGATTCGATTGATCCTACATTTTTACCATCAAATCAAGGTGCCGATGGTGAATACGAAGTAGATGATATCGACGATTTGATTCAATTAATAGGCAGTGTAGATGAATCTACAGCTGCTGCAATCAATGTCACGAAAAAATCAACAGAAAACGTATATATTCGAGAAACGATTGAAGCTGTGGAAAAAGTTGGACGGTTCAATCATATGAATCGTAAGTGTTAATTGTTTTATGATCTATATCATTCAGGAAAAAATATATAAATTGTTTTAGGTCATGATCAACATGTTTCAAATACAGACATTGATCGACAAATTGTACCGTTTGTTTCCGCAACACCTAATCTCATTAAACTTAATTCAAAATGGCAAGATCAATTGAAGAATGAAAAGGAACGAATCAGGCGCAGTTTGATTTCGGGAAAACATAACAATGATGATGATATACTGGATTTTAATGATGTAACTGACGCCATTGTAACGGTAGTCAATCCATATGATAATCGAAATAATGTCGAAAAAAATACATCAATTCCACCAGTACTTGTAGTTAAAAACAATTTCTCAACTAAAAACAGCATCATTGATGAATTTACATTAAACAAGGAACAAAGAGCTGCATTCTTGATAATAACAAGTCATCTCGATGGTGACAATCGATGTCGTACAGGTATTTTCGTAAAATAAATCATTACTTATTTGATCAAATAATCTATTTTAGGTGACAATAATGGTCAGCTCATTATGTGTATACCTGGATGTGGTGGAACGGGCAAATCACAATTGATTCGTGCTCTTACAAAATACTTTCTCATCACAAAAAGAATGCAAATGATGCGAAAACTTGCACCTACCGGAATTGCAGCAGCTGAAATTGATGGCATGACAATTCATTCATTCTTAGGTGAACAACGTAATTCAGGAAAGCCACGTACCATTAAACCAGGTGATTCCAAACTTGAAAAAGAATGGCGACCTGTTGAATATCTCTTAATTGATGAGATGAGTATGGTTGGCTTAACTTTATTAGGAAAACTCAATAGAATTATTTGTTCTGCAAAACATGTCGATCCTCAAGTTCCATTTGGTGGTGTGAATGTAATCTTCTTTGGTGACTACTTACAATATCGGCCAGTCTATGATTCACCATTACATACTGATTTTTCATTACCATCAAAAAAGAGACAAGGAAAACTACCATCTGAAAAAGAAATTCAACAACGTGTTGCACGTTCTTTAATTCTTCAAATGAATTGTGTGGTGAAACTTACACAACAGATGCGAACAGAAGATTTACGATATCTTCAACTACTCGATCGACTTCGTCATGGACAATGCAATTATGACGATTATGAATTATTACAAACACGAGTTGTTGGACAACCATCAATAGAATCTCTACATGATTCACCATGGAACAAAGTAAATCAACTTTTTCGAGTAAAGGAAAAACTATTTTCATCTTTTTAGGCTCCTATTCTCGTGTTTCGAAATGAAGTTCGCACACAAATAAATAACAAGGCAGCAATTCACAATGCAACACAAATGGGTCATCCACCGATGGTATGTGTTGCTCAAGATACTTGCAAAGGCAAAGCAATCGAAGATGCAATATTGCTTAAAAAATTATTAGAACTGTCTGATAGCAAGACAGAGCATTTACCTGGTCTATTACCTTTTGTACCAGGCATGCCGGTCATTTTAACACAAAATATTGCTACTGAATTAGGTCTTATAAATGGTATTAATGGAATCTTTCGACAACTAGTGTATCACGAAGAATCGGTATCAGCAGAAAATTTATCGGAAATGTTCCCAAATAATACACAATACATTCGTCGACCAATATATGCTTTAATTGAGATTGTTAAATCGAAGATTGAATGCAAACTTCAAGATCTTCAACCAAAACTTATACCAATTCCGTTAGTAGAACAAACATTTCGTGTCGACGTTGCTGATATTCTTCCAAAAGATAAAAAACCAAAATCAAATCAAAAGACAATTTTATCAATTAAACGATCTGCATTACCACTTGTACCTGCTTATTGTATTACAACACATAAAAGCCAAGGTCAAACATTGAACAAAGTGATCATTGATTTAAAATTACCAAATGAAACTGATGATATTGCAGCAGTATATGTACCATTATCTCGTGTGAAACGTTTGGTTGATCTAGCTATTCTAAGATCATTCGATTACAAAGTTTTACTTATGAAACCAAATAAATCTCAAGTTGCTGAGATGGAACGACTTGATCAACTGTATATCAACACACGATTAGGTTTCCCGGAATGGTTTCAATAAATCATATATATAATAAAACAATTGTTATTATTTGCATGTAGTTTTAGTATGAAAAATGCAAATTTTTCATAAGTTCCGTTATCTTTCATTAAATCATGGTATTTCTACGTTTGAATATTCTTTAAAATAGAGATATTTTTACTTTTCCGATGCTGTTGTGCATATTTCATAGATATTAATTTTTTTCTGTTCATTCTTCTTTGTTTCAATCGAATATAAAATAAGTTTCTGTTATGTAGTTGATTATGGAAGTTCTTGAACAAACCTTCTCAACTGTAGTTCGAATTAGAATATTTTTTTGAATTTCCTACGAAATGACTTATAGAATGGTAAGCTAAAAAAGGACTATGACGAGTATATAATAATAGAATCCAAATTATTATGAATGATTTCAGCAACAGAAAACATCCAATGTTAGTCGTTCAGTCGAGGGTTAAGCGAGTCTGCCTCGACGAGCGTTACTTGTAATTAATAAGAATAAGAATAAAAATTATTTGATAGATTTTAATAAATTATTCTCTATATAACTATAAATAGATTGATTGATCCATAAAATAAATGACGAACAAATTTAACCGATATGTTAAACAAGTATAAATCGAAGAAAAACAAATCGAATTAAACATTAGAATTTATGCTAGTCTTTATATTCATAAGGAGCAACTGTCGGTCGAAAACAAAAACGTTCAACTTCGAGCGAATGTTTACCTCTCATACTTTTTAAATTGACACTAGAACTATTTTTATCATTAATAAATACGAACTCGTTAACCTTTCGAATTTATTAATAGAATAGAAAACAAAATCTCGAATATATTTTAACTTATTTATATGATCTTCTATCTCTATGATATTCCGATTATTTCCGCTTTGTTACTTCATATATGATCAAAGTCCGATAAACAATCGATTGTTTTTCGTTTAATAGAATCAACAAGTTAACAGCGAATTAATCGTTTTCTTTAATCTAGATTTTTCTAGTATTTTTAAATATAAAGAAGATACATTCCCAGATAGTGAAAAAAAAATTCGACAATTATTTTCTTGATTAATCAGATGATTTTTATAATAAAGAAATAATTTTCTCTAATCATATTAAAAAGATGAAATTTAAGAGAAATAAATCAATTATTCTACTCGTCTAGATTGAAACCTTCCACGACGATTTCTACTAGCTTTATTTTAAATTAAAAAAAAAACAACGATATGTGTCGTAAATATTTCGTTTATTTCGATTAAAAAAAAATAGTGAAACTACTAGAAACACCATAGTTTTCAGCTGATAAACTCTGATGATCAATAACTTTCCGTTCAAAACCCATAAGATTATATTGAGAAAAAAAGATCCTAGAACATCAATCTTCTATTTATGATAAGTTTTTTATTTCAATATAAAACAAAATTTTCTCTTTAACACATTCAACCCGATGGGACTCACTATATTCTAGAGTGACTAGTCGAACATGAAAACAAAAGATTCTCAGAAAATGTTTTCATCTATTAGACTTTGTAGAGCTATCTTTACCGATCCTTTTGATAAAAAGATTTTTAAATTTGATAAATAAATAAAGGTGGTTGGCTGAAAATACTAAAAAACTGAGGCAGTTTTTGTCTACTAGTGCTACGATTTTGTCCAGTATATTGACTCTACTATCGTCATTTATTTATGAAATTTAAAAAATCGTTTTTTATTAAAATTATCGTCAGGTCAAAGAGATCTCTACAATGTCTGATAAAGGAAACATTTCATGATATCTATTTGTTTTTCGTGGTTGACTAATCATCAAAATACTCAATTATATGTCTGAACATTTTTCAACTTTTCCTAATTCTTTAGTTCATAGTCATTCTATAAATTGCAAGTTATACTAGCAAATTTTCTTTTCGACGAGGTTTCATTTGTCATTAAATTCAATCTTGATTTCAGTTGTATTTGGAGGAGGTATACCCTATGGATATATATTATTTTCTACGTACTAGAATCAAATTGGGTTCAATGTACTAAAGAGTATTAGAAATAATTACGAAAGAAAATGTTTACTAGCTCAAAAGCATTCAACAATAATAACAATATATTCAACTATTTGATTATTTAATCGTTCTCTTTATAGAGCTATTTCTATAATTATCATTTTATTGATTAAATCACATTTGAAAATTTTATATAGACGTTAGAATTCCAATGCACCTGATGAAAACAATTCTATCTTTCCTAAAATGGTTAGATTTCTTAAATAGATTACTAGTCTCTCTCTCTCAGAAAAATGTTCAGTGAGACCATAACCGGATGATGATTATATTATTGATAAACTGTCAATTATATATATATATATTTTCGTTAACGTCTTCATTTACTTGTAATAATCACGTATAAATAGATGCAACTAATAAAAGAACATTATTTATATTAAACTCTAATCAACAATTCATATTTTGAATTTTAATAATGTTTTAATTATGTTAATAAACCGCATAGATATATAGAAAACAGACATTAAGGAAGATGTTGTTAAATCAAGACCATTAGAATAAAAAAGACTTGGAATGTTTTTAAGATAAAATTGACTCTCAACAATCGAAACATTCATTATGTAACGTTCGAAATAAAAAACAAAAACAAAAAGTTGTGTCTGTCTTCAGAATTTATTATTAGAATACGATATACAATTAATATCTAGTTGAACTTATTGATATTGTCTTTTATTTTTAGGAAATAATAGAGTTTGGATGTTTTTTCTTGGAAATACTAGTAAAATACAAAAAAAGAGAAATTTGTTTTGTTTTTTTCTTCAATAAAACGTATAATTTAGAAATAAAATAAATCTTTATTTTAATCTATATATTGATTTAACTTTAAATTTGAACATACTTTCGATAAAAATATTCTATCAACGATAGAAATGTTTATTTTAGTTTAGATTTATTTAGTTGATATAATAATATAGTCTAAGATTAAAGTTGACCTTTATCTTATAAATGGTGTTGATCTTATCGTTCTATAATCCATTAAGAAAAATGGAATAAATTTATTCGAAAATTGTTATTTAAATATGGAACGAATCGGATTGAATAAGAGTGTCGAAAAGAATTT